GAAAGTAAGGTTATTTTTTTTTCTGGAGAGTGCAGCAGGTTTTTAGCAGATCACAGATCAATGGAAAGAAAATATTTTTTCGAACTCTGATATCCATATTTCTATTTCTATGCGGAGACAGCAAATTCAACGAAGATCCTTTGAACACAAGGTTACTCATTGAATCTGGCAAGTTTTGGTTCCTGAAATTCATCTAGCTTTATTAAATCGATTATACAGACCATGAAACTACCTTAGAATTGCAAAAATACAATGATACAGAGTTTCTAAATCTGTACTTCAATATGAAAACGAGATTTTTATTCTTTCAAAACTTTCTTATAGCAGTTCAGTGCCTTCGAATCGAAAAGTTGTAGTCACTTGATTTTATAACTTTTTTGTACTCTTTTCAAATATGTAGCAAAGAAAACTGTACTATTTCAGGTCTATAAAGACTCTGTAGAATCTATTCCAAAAGCCTACGGAATTTTAATGGATTGATTCTCTCAAAGTGTTTACTGAGCTAAACTATGTTGGTGAGAACTGTTCTGATTTTTAGCTTGAAAAGCTAAAATGAATAAAAATCTCAGTTTTCATCGCTTCTGAAAATGATCTATGATAATTGTATTGAAGCAAAAAGTGCATTCAGAAATTCTAGAAATTTCAGCACATCGACTATTTGATCTGATAAGAATTAGAGGAAATCAATTGTAATCTTTCGAAGAACTTTAGAGGCTCAAACTAAGCGACATCTTTGTTTTTGCTCTGATGTAATATTTGGATGCTAATGTACGAAAAATTGAGCAAATCAGCTAACGGTGACTTCTAGTCCAAAGTCTTTAAACTACTATGCTGAAACTCAAAAAGTTGAAGACTTCGTTTTTTGACTGCAGTATAAAGTTCGAAATATTGTTTGTACTGCTCACTGCTGCTGTTCTAACACTGATATATATGGTTGGTGTATTCGATTAGATACTACCAAATACATGAAAATAGCATTTTTAAATCATCTTGGCATTAAAAACGTTGCTTTTGATATTTTTAGGTTCTGAATTAGCAGATCAAATCTGTGAAGCACTTGTCAACGGTTTCAGATGATGGCAACATCATCAACATTGGAGGTACTGCCTGATGAGCTTCTCCTTGAAATTTGTAAATATCTGTTGTGCGTCGATGTTCTTCAATCATTTTATGATCTCAACGGACGCATGACATGCTTAATCAAGAATTATCGACATTATGTCTCACTGTACAAAGCATCTTTTGCTCAATCGAAATTTGTGTATACTAATGTGTTTCCCAAAATTAGCTCACATATTCGTACATTGGTCATCGATCGATTGTATTCGGTATTGCAATGCGAAATGTTTTCTCGTCACTTTAGTCATCAAAGAATGTCCAACATATTTCCACGACTTGAAATAATCACACTTGTCTCGTTCAGACACAAAGAATTGATGGAATTCATTGGCATGTTGGAAGGTTTCGAACAATTGTTCCAAATCAATATTCGCAATCTATTTTCGATCCCTACCGAACATCAACCAGCTGTATTGGAGGCACTATTGAAAGCCAACAACGAGAAAATCACATCAGTTTTAATAAAAAATAGTTGGAGTTGTTTAAGTTTGAATAATTTATCTAGTGTTTCCTACTCAAACATAATCAATCTTAAAATCACGATGAGCACGTTCAACGATTTTTCGTTGCTCTTTTCTGCTGTTCCAAATGTTCGTCAATTGGACGTGACGCTTACCGATGAATATGATTTCGCTTTATTTAATGATGAAACTTCATTTCTTGTTCATCTCATCGATTTCCGATTAGCTTCAATTTACCATCTATGTTCTTTTGAAGAACTCACTGCTCTTCTTTATCGAATGCCCAATGTACAACACCTTTCACTTCATCTTCGCACTGTTGACAATCGTCTTATTGATGGCCAACAGATTCTCATTCTTCAACAGTCACTTTTTCATATTCAAACTCTCAACTATAGTATCTACTATCTTGCTGAAACAGATGAATTTGATCGTGAGATGATGCTTACTTCGTGGTCTCCGATCTCAATGGAATATCTAGTTAATGAAACGAGCAATGTGGACTATATATTTGCTTTTATTTACACCTTACTGCCGTATAATCAACCTTTTCCATCCCTTGTACTTCCAGCCTCAATCCTCAATAAAACAAAGTCCACTAAGAAAAGTGATAGAGAAGTTGAATACCTGATCATCAATAGTGTATCAACTTTTCTTGGCTGCTTACCTATCATGGCATACTGGTGTCGTCTAAAAGAGCTGACAATTTGGTTCTCTGGTACTGATCCAACTGCCACAGTTGTTACGGGTAAATAGTACTCTTCACTCTTTCTGTTGTGTCACAATATACGTCTCTAGTATCTGGAAAAACTGCACAAAGAGCGTCCCAATAGAAGTAACATCTTTGAACCAGGAGAATTTTTAGCCGCTTTTATATGCAAAACTGTGGTAACCTTTAAAATTTGTTTTAAATTCAATGTCGAAAGCAATCAGACAAAAAAATGAGAGATATAGACTTGCCATGGCGGAGCCTGTATAGAGAAGAATTTTCGAAAAGTGACTATTTTAGCACTCGAAGTTATTCGATTTATGTGTTCAACTACATCATTTAGAAGCCATAACTAAGTTTCGTAAGATGATGTTGTTGATTTTTCGGTAGAAAGATATTTATTTCGTAGAACCATTTATAGTGATAACTAGCAGCATGTAGTACTACCCTCTGTGTCACAAAGCCTAAACGTTATTAGAACAATAATGTTAGCATCAAAATCTCTACTACTAACCAAAGTGTCACTAAATTGGGACATAGATTTCTCACTAAAGTGTCTGGATATAATCTAATTTGAATCAAAATCGTTGATGATAGTAGAAATGTCTCGATTCTCTGGTGTTGTATTTCAACAGGCAACCAAGAGCAGCAGCCACCATTGGTTCCGAAAATGGTTCGTCTCCAGCATCTTGAACTTGCTGGCTCGGTACCATCTGATCTTGAACACTTGTCATTGATTCTTATTGCTGCACCAAATGTCATTCGCTTGGGTTTGAATTTTGACAGTCTTTTGCCACTCCTCGATAATGAAGAGACGAGTCACCTCTTCTCACAACGTATTAGAGCTCTTTCTATCTACCAAGTATCACTATCGTCGTCGACTGCCATCGCTGAATCTCATATACCTCGTATTGCTTCGACATTTTCACGGCTTCGTCATATGTTCGTCGATTTAACTCATTTGTTGCCGTCTATCGATTCGATGGTCTTGCACATTTTAACTGATTTCAAGATGCGCCTTGTTTCGTTGTGTGTCGATGGATCACCCTCAGATGAGATGAAAATAGATGCTCACAAATGGTTGGAACATCATAATAATAACAGTAATAAGAACATTGTCCATCCCACAGAGTTCAGCGCTTCTTTCAATTTAGAAGCAAACAGACTATTTGTATGGATGTGAGATGAAGAGAGACATAAATCATTTATATGAACAAGTTGTCTGGAATCATTTACAATAAAATGTATTTCTTTCTCCAACAAAGCTAGCAGTTCTTCGATGCTTTCATTTTGAAAATTTGACAACAAACAATAGACTTTTTCTCAATTCTCCGTCAATCATATTTTTCGACTCATAAAGTCAAAACAATTTGTTTTCTTGCTTCTATTGTCCAACAATTGAAGTTTGGATTCGTTCGCTAGTGTCCCATCGTGAATTTGCATGTGGGTCTTGTTTTATTGCTGTTTTTGTCTTTGCTTAAACAAGATGTGGGTGCATATGTGAAGATCGGTTGGTGGATGGAGTTTGCTCGTCTCCTCTTGCACACTTACTCACATCTCACACAATCATACCCGCTCTCCACATCCGTACTCCAACTACGTAGATAAATCAATATCATGATGAACGCGAATTTGAAAAAAACAAGAACGCAAAGCACGCATGACGTTCTTTTCATTGCATTTTTCACAAGGATAAAAACTTGAATAAATATGAAGTAGAATATCGAATATTATAAAAGTATTAAATATAGAAAATTATTTAAAATAATCATATTAATAAACCTTATCAAATTTTTTTCAGCAGAAATGAAATGAAAAACGAAAATTGATATCCATATGAGGAACAGAAGAATAAGAAAACAAGGGATAAGGATACAAGATTCAGAATGTCATCAATATAAATAGATAACAAGGAGAAAAGACAAGGGAATTTTTACTTTTGGTTCTTGAATTTCTCATATTGACTAATAAGTGATATATTATCAGTCTGGCTTGGTGATAAATGTATTTGTTGTTGAGAAAATTCAATCCTGTTAAGATGAATAATCTATCCACGGAAATACTGGCCGCTGATATGACATGTGCTCTTCTGCCTACTATTGATAATAATGGAAAATCATTACCACTTCCACTACTAGACCACAACTCGATTGGATCACGATCAATTAGATACCTTAGATGTTCTGCAGATCCAACGTCAAATGAATAGATGGTCTTATTCCTGCATGTACAGGAAAAAATAGCCTACTCGCAGGACATGCCATGCATCCTATGAAGTGCTCTGGTGAGAGCTTTTCTTGCTTAACATATGAAATTATACTGTTCCAGCATAGACTTCATATTTAATGAGTTTATTATTTGTATTCAATTATGGCTGAACATTTTTCAAATAAGAATATCTTTATCTAGTAGTTCTTTTTACAGCATACCTTTGACAAAAATACTTGAACCAAAAAACTGAATCTTAGAGGAGCAGAAATAATATTTCAAAAAAAGGGAGGGAGAGTTCTGATTTTGAACCATTTTATATCAGGAAAAGTTCATTTGTTTTTTCTATTGTAGTGAGCATGTTCCATATAATATTAGTTCAAGCAGAGAATCAATTGTATTAGTTTAGTAAAAAGAGAGAATAGGCTTGTTATATAGAACCCATAAAACAAAACAAACTTTTTTATATATTAAACAAATTATATATGTTTCTCAGCTTCATTCTATTGTTTTGTATTTTTTCGTGAGGGTGGACATTTAAATTTTCTTAGTACATTTCCTCTTTTTCCACGACCAGCAACAATTTCAGTTAATTCTTCGTTATCATCATCATCACCATCATCATCATCTGTATCTTCATTAGACGAGAAGGAAATACGAAATTTAACAGTATATGGACTTGATTGTTGTTTTCCATTAGATATACTACTTAATTCTATATTATCACCTGAAGATTGTTTTTGAGCAACAATAGAACTTATTGTTTTTAATAAATCGCATGATTTTTCATGTTTCTCATTATCAGCATAACCAATAATAAAATGAACACCACTATTATGTTGATTCATTGGATTTTCATTGATAACTTCTATAGCCGATGCTGATGAAATGTTGTTTGACAATTTTGTATGCTTACCATTCTTTTCAAATTCGGAATTTAATTTCACTCTTGCATCAGGATTTTCAAATTGTTTCGTACTATAACGTTGATCAAATTGAAATGAACCATCTCTAGAATCTGCATCGTTAGGCTCATCATCAGAAAAATCAGAAAAATCAATTATATCTTCATTTATATATAGTTTTCGAGCAAAAACACGTTGATATCGATCAACAAGAACTGATATAAGCATACCAATTGTTGTAGCACCACATAATCCACACAAACATGCTATTATTCGTCCAACTGGTGTGATAGGTGTTATATCACCATATCTAAAAAGAACTTTTGTTTTTAGAATAAAAAACAAAGTATTTTTCAATTATTTTTACCCAACACCTGTAATTGTAATAATTCCCCAATAAGTTGCTTTAAGTATGGAATCAAATGCTTGACCATTTAGATTATTTTCAGCAAAATAAGCAGCAGTACCAAAGAGAAAACTTAATAATGTTAAAATATTAATCATGATAAAGAAATCTAAGAGCGATTCTCGAATTGTCGCTACAAGTGCACGTAAAGATTTCACATTTCGAAATACACGATAAAACTTAAGAACACGTGTAAAACGAAGAACACGTAAAAAACGAAAACCATCAGCTGTTACTGTATTGATTCGGTTATTTCGATCAGCTAAATAAATACCAAGTTTAACATAATATGGTACAACAGCTGCAATATCAATCCAATTCATTATATTTTTTACAAAATCAACACATGATGGTGCACTTATTATGCGAAGAACAAGTTCAACTGTAAAAAATGCAACACATATAGTTTGAATAATAAAAAATGGTGATCTAAGGTAATCCATGCAGATATTTTCACTATCGTTCAAAACATGTGCTGTTTCATTTGTATTATTTGAATTATTAATTGATGAATTGCAACAAACTAATTGGTCGCCATTTATATATTGTGGTAATGATTCAATAGCAAGAGCGATAGTTGAAATAAGAATCATAAGTAATGATAAAATACTGACAATTTTAGCCATTATCGAATATTCAGGATATTCCATAGTTGCCCATAAATGTCTTCGAAAACGATTTTTGGGTAAACGTACTTTCTTAACTTCTTTAATATCTTCATCTTTTCGTATTTGATTAAGAGCTTCTTGGCCTAATTCAAAAAAATTTACTTCTTCGAGAAACATATCAATTGGAACAAAGTTTGGTCGTCTTAATCGACCATGTGATTGATAATAATAAAGTATGGCTTCAAAACATGATCGACTACGATCAAAAAAATATTCATTATGTGTTTTATCATAGTAAAACTTTCGTCGTTTACGATTTCCAAGTAGTGTATTTGGATAAAGCTCAAGCGTTGTACGATGAGTTTCATAACGATCACCACATACATTTATTATAATGCGATCTTCAAACGATGAAGTATTGTGAAGTTTACGTTGTCGAGATTGCATTGCTCGAATATTGAGCAAACTTTGCACATTGATAAGATCACTATTTTTACGTCAAATAAAAATAATAAACAAATGATTAAAAACTAAAAATAAATATTTTTTTTGTGAATTTGTTATGGTGCATGGTTTTTTGTTAATTGACATGCTGCTTAAAGTATTTTAATTTTAATATTGGAGACCATGATCCCTAAGCTAGAAAGCATAAGCACACACTTACGAGATATAAGCATTATTACTCTTCGAATCTCCTTGTGTTTGCTTTGTTGTCGAAGATCTTCTCCTAATAAAAATGAGAAATTAAGATTAAAAAAATACTATGATTTATATTTGTATACTCAAATAGACGTTCTAAATGTCTTGGTTTATCTATTGATGATTGCTTAATAATATCACGAGATTGATGAGTCGGATGAATAGGCTCTGATTTTCGAGTTCTCTGCATTATCACTATCTACAAATATATATATGTCGTATCGAAGTTACAACTTGGTCGTATAAATGTGACGAATTTATAACTTCGACAGAGGCATTTGTCGAAGTTAATTTTGATTAATCTATCAATAAATAATTCACTTCAATGAATATCGTACTGTTGAATATATAATCAAAAATTTTTTTTTTAAAAATAAATATTCATTTATTTAAGAATATTCTTAAATAAATGAGTATTTATTTTAAAAAAAATTATTTTTGATTATATATTCAACAATACGATATTCATTGAAGTGAATTATTTATTGAAAGATTAATCAAAATTAACTTCAACAAATTTCTCTGTCGAAGATATAACTTCGTCACATTTATACGACGAAGTTGTAACTTTGTCAATACAAGACGACGAAGTTATAACTTCATCGACCGGTGTAACTTCAATAACACATATATATTGAAAAGATGCATACCTAACCGAGCGAAGAGAGGCAAAAAAACGTAGTCTTTATAACATCAACTATTAACGAATCATTCGTTGTCATCCATCAATGAGCCCTAAGAGTGAAGAATACAAAAGAGAATACTATCATGGCGTTTAGTCATAATGAATAAGCAGAACTGCTAGCTCCATATTTAAAAATTGAAAGAAACAAAATAAAAAAAACATTCTTGTAATAAAATAGTTGTTTCCTATGTAGCAATAACAACCAAACAGATTTTATAAAACATCCTAGAGACATTTCAGTATAAAAAGAAATGTACGTAATGATGCGCAGATCAATTATAATGATATAGGAAAATAAAGATTTTTTATGTTTGAATCTAGTGGCTTTCTATACTTGTTTCGCTTCAAGCAAAATTTTCATCAATCAGATATATATATTGCATATTTTGCACAGTTTCATTTCTTATGTGTAAAGCTGTTTTATTTCTATCATTTATCTAGATACTTGTGAAGAATTCAATAGGTTTTGAATGTTGAAGTACAGGAATTTCTATGATTCTCTAACAAGAAAAAGCTATAAAAGTATAACAATTCAAAAAAGAAGATTTTACATTTGACAATGACGGAAGTGTTCTCATATTTTATAATCAATTTGATTCTTGTTACAGAAGTTCAAGTGTATTCTTTGAAATCAAAAATAGTCAAGAACTATAAATAAGAATTCGTGATGATGCTTATTTTATCATGCATGTTGAGATAACGTGATGTCGTAAGAGGAAAAAGGAATAACATTCCTGCCTTTCAGTTACCTTGCGATCAGCCATGAAATCGGTACGAATGTCAGATTTCAGATCAGTCGGCAACTGGTAGATTGACTAGTCGTCGTACATATTATGCATCAGAGGTTTTTTTAATTAATTTTATCGCACTTGTATTATTATTATCAGTGTCATCGATCTATGTTCAATTCAAACTGTTTAACTTCTTTTGCATCGAAAGAACATTTTTATCACATAAATCATAAGGGTCTTAAATCTTTCTTTATCTCTTTTTTTTCTGTTGAAAAAATTAAATCATTCATATGCTTATTAAATAGATCGATTATGACTTGATTTATAGTTTACCAGAAAAATGTTTCTATAAACAATTATAAATCTAAGAATGATATTATTTTGAAATATTTTGACAATTTATAAACAACGACTTAAATTATTTCAAAGTAGAATCATTTCAAACAAAAAAAAACATTACTTCACTTCTTATTTTGTTTTGTTTACAAAATATATCTATGAAAAAACTAAAAACGCGTCAAATATGTCATTTCTTTTTCTATACTTGACTAGAGTATCTAATGAATCAATATTATAAAATAAATGTGTGCATTGACACTGATTCAGATACTTTATGATCGACAGTTGATGGTTTAGATATTGATCAAATGTACATAATAGTGTTCGTAATGTTGATAACTACAGTATTGAAATTGCTATTTTAATTGGCAAAATGTCCTGAAAGTCGATAAAACTAAGTCATTTTGTTTGAAATTATGAAAAAATATGAGTATCAAAGATTGGATCGGTTTGCTTCTAAAAAACCACGAATCGATCTCATCTCTGATAAGTATTCAGTCATGCATTATAATATAGAATATCATCAATTGTAATTCTTAACTTGTTGCTTTGATCAGTTATTCAAATAGAAATCATTCGATACTAATGAAAATCTACAAATTATTTAACGATTTGTATATCAGTGTTCACTTTGATGACAAATTTTTCCCAGTTCTAATCTCTAAGTGGATCAATAAGCAATACTATTTTATTAAATGAAAAAATCCAAAAAAAAGCTAGTAGTTCGTTTAATCTAGAGAAAACATGTTCCATGAAACATTATGGTATAATTAAAGAGTTGTATCAATATTATTATTTCAATACATCGGAGTTCATTCCCATGTCACCAATTTTCCATTAAAACTAACGATTGACCATGCTTTATAAAAAAAACCGACGGTTCGAATGGTTTACTTTGTTTTTTATCATTTTTTATAATTTGTGTATTAAATAAATAAATTGTATCTTGAAAAATACGCCTTTACTATTGCAACAATATATTATGTTCAATAATGCCACAGTTTTTTCTACTGGTTACCCAGATCAAACAAGCACGGTCGTAAACAACAGTATCCGAAGATACACGACAATATAAGGAGAAGGAAACGGTTGTTTAAGATTATTGTATGCAGAGTCCGTATACACTTTTACATTCTTCAGAACTATAAAGGATTTCGTGAGATCAGTACAGATTCATCATTCTATCAACCAGATACCCTGCGTCTCTTTACAAAAATACGAAATCCAATTGGAATGGGCAGAATTATTGGACATTCTCTACGAATTATGCAGAACGATTTCTCATCTTATCAATCCCATATGGAGTTCCGTAAGGAAGATACCAGAAGCGCAGATTCTACCCATGTACGCGAACGGTCGTTCAGCGAAAGTTTTGAAAATTTAGTAGCATCTGAGACAATTTTTTTGACAAATATTTTCTCCTATAGGGAAAACTTTTCAATTTTCCAAACGAATCTCACTTTATTTATATACAGGATGGGTCAAAAGTAAAGAAACACAACATTTTCTTTATTTCCTCTCTATACATGAATAATAAAATTTATTATTGATACCATATTTACTAGATATTAATAGTCACAGGCATAGCATATTAACAGTCTCTTGGCTCAATCGCTTCTTTCAAAAGCACACTGACGCATTTTGTATACTCTTTTGTGGTTGTAGTAGAACTGATCATTTCTTGTCGAATTTTATTTCTGTTTGTTTGGTTTGATTGGGCCCATTTGAAGGATAAATCGAATACTATATGCTTTTTTGAGTTTCTTTCATATAAAACAATGTAAAAATATAATTCAAATATGTTTTAGTTTGCAGATCGGTACAGCCACACGACAAATGGTAATCAAATTTTACTAGGAAGCAATAATTCTTGTTCCAGTCACATAGAAGTATACGAGATAAACCGGTGAATTTTTGAAACAAATGATTGAGCCCAAAGATGAATGATACGCTACGCTTCTGACTGCCACTACCTATTATGTATGCTATAAATAAGAGATTTTATTATTCATGTATAGAGACGAAATTAAAACAATTTTGTGTTTTCTTACTTTTGGCTCACTCTGTATACATCGATCAGACCTTCTACTTCGCTTTTTTCTGTTATTTTCATTAAAATTTTGAAAGACTCATCCGTGTCTTTATTTTAGTGTCAGTATTGTCTATCTTAATTTACGTTCATCATGCATCTTGCCATTTCTTTCACCTTGTCTCTTTGTGCTCATTCATAAAACAACACGCACTTTTTGAGTTCTTCTCTTTTCTTTCTATACTTTTCCCTAATGGAATGCCACTAGTTGCAGTTTTTTCCTCTGTTCCTGCATACAGTTGCTGTTGTAAGTGCGCATGCGTACAATATCAGTAGGATGACTAATGTATGATGATCGATGACTGAATCGAACCATTTTTCGTTGGTTCGAGTTCAGTTCAGTTTGAATTTAATTTTGAAAAACTAACTTGGATTCGACTTGGCTCGACTTCATTGTTGAAAAGTGGTTCGAGTTCGATTCTATTCGAGTAACTCTAATTCCACCCAGTCAGAAATGCACGATAGGTCGAAACCTGTTTCTTCTGTTTCAGTAAGTTCCAATTATTTTCGAGAAGCACAAGCAACAAGAAAATCTGAACTAAATGATATTGAATAGTAGCTTTTCTTCTTAATATGTATTGGCAATGTGTTAAACAGTGACAGTTATTTTTTTTTAATACAAATTTAAAACAAGAAAACTCGTTTTTTGATTGATTTTAAAGCGGAGGAAATTTTTCTCAAAAGTTTTGCCGTTCGGAGAAATTTTTATTTTACTGGCAGGCTCTGCACATCTGGAGGATACGAAACCTTTTTTTGATTCTAAGGAGGCGCAATAGTTTCGTGTGGAAAATGGAAAACTGCTATTTTTCTTGAGCAAGGAATGCTGTAGTATGAAAGATACGAAACTCCTCAAATTTCTCTGAGCTAAAAAAGGGTCTGATACACAAAATTGCGAAGCGATTTTCATTTTTCGAAATGCAAGAGAGTCTCATGGCCAAATACGAAACTTTTAAGATTCAGTAATAAACCCTTTTTTAAGAGTTCAGTTCTGCGCAAAACTTAAAACAGCGTGACTTGAAGAGTCTTTTTTATATTTACCATTTTGTGACGTAATGGAAGTCTCAGTTAGGAATTCTGTATCAATGCTAATGCGCTCTTTCTCATTACTGTTAATCAAGGAAATCATTATTGTCATGCAATTTTGGAGATGATATGTGCCAATAACTTTATAGATTGGTTTTTTTCGCTCAAAATTCTATGAATGTCAGTCAATAGAAAAATGTAAGAGCATTGAAAGACTCTTTAAATCAGCTCACCTGGTAGAGCTCTTTGCGCTCGCCCTTTTGAAAAAAGCAATTTTTCAAAAGAACCAATAAATATGGATGCTAGGTTCAAACACTGAAAAATGTTAATGTTTTAGTACTAACTGTCGTTTTCCAATGTTTCGATCCTAGCACGGTTATTTCTGCGTCGCCTTAAGAAAACTTTTTATTGAAATGATTAGCACATAAAGTTGTACAAGATGAATTATGTCTAGATTTTATTGAAGACCTCAGTGTTGTTTTTTGTGGTTGAGAACTCATTGAATCATCCAGTAATCAAACATCGTTCGTGTAGGCAACAAGTAAGGAGCCTCGTAACTATTATTGAGCAATGTTAATTTCATGCGCTTGGTGTTGTTTTTATGTTTTGCGTTTTTTCAGCTATAAAATCGTCTTGAATGCACCTTGCTCCAGGAATGTCGTGGTCTATTTGATGTCGTTAAAGTTAAACATTGAAATCTAATTCTCGTTGCAAAGTAAATATGTATAGATTTGGCAAACGTTGTTCACACGATATATTTAACTCTAGTTTATGCTGTATTTGAACCAATTTTCGATCTTCAAGACATTACTGAGAAACAATATCTAGTTGATGAAAAGTGATTATCACTGTAAACATTCGTAACATCAGGAAGTAGTAGTGAATTAAAAAGTTACAAGACATCTTTCAGGTTGAATTCACAGAAATTTTTAACGGTTCCTCGTCAGAAAATCCATTTTTTCGGGAAAAGCTCGAAGTGGAGTTTTTACATGGGGGAAACGGCAGACTCCAACTCTTTGGAGTTCCTCGAAATCCCAAGATATCCTCGATTACTCAACAAAAATTCTTTATAAAGTTTAAAAAGAGTTACTTCTTAATTTTGTTTTCGTCAATCATGATATTAGATAAGACAGATATAATTGAGGCGGACGGTTATAGGTATCTGTATTTTTTTGCTTCGCCAAATTTCGTTTTCAGGAAAAACGTGTACTATCTGTATTCTATTCACGTGTAATGCATCAACTTATTTTACAACTTTTAATTAAGCAAAGTATCGTTTATTGAAAAAGAAAAGCAAACAGAATATGACATAAAGAAAAACAAATTTATTCTTTTTTACTAGTCTGCATTACTCGAAGTAATCTATCACTTGAAAGATTACTTTTTTCGTCTGTTAATAACCAACAATCAGACTGTTTGAGTACATATTTTGTTTGATTGTTAATTGAAACTTTAAAATAAGTATCAGGGATCTCAAGTTTTATTGTATTACAGACTTTTTTCCAAAAAAAGTCTTTTTTTCGTGGTAGCAATGAATTCGCTGGTAACATCTTGTTCATTGTCATCATTATGATCATCGTTCAAAGAAGAATCATCATATTGTTATCGTCATTGTTGATACCATTTGTTCCTTCATCATCATCATCTGCAGCTAATTCAAATTCTTCCGCGTCTACAATATCTACTTGAGATGACTAGTTGTGCATCTTAGAATTTGTATTTAAATGTCCGAATACATATTAACTTAATGGCTTTAAACCAAGAACATGTTGTTGTTGCAATAATTTCTATACTCCTAAACCATCAAGTATATCAACAGCTTCGTCATATGCATCGGCGATAACTTGCTCAACATATATTTGATCGATTTCATTCTGAATTTGTGTAGATAATGATTGTTGATCATTTCGGTGTTTGTAATGAACAGAATATATTAATTTGTCAACTGTTTGATTGTGCAACTGCTTGTATCTAATATCATTGAGCAATGATAATTTTTCAGCTTGTTGTAAAAAAACATATGCGGCAAAGTTGACTACTGTTGAATAAATTTCAATTAATGCTCGTGTATTTCTAAACATAGGCTCACAAGCTTGTGAATTAAAAGTATAAATATTTAATGCATATGATGATAATTGTTTCTGTTTCACAAGTAAAATTAATAATAATAGATTATGTGCATTGAGTTCGGCCGACATATATGCTGATTTAGTGTTGAAGTATTTGCTTTTATTATTTTGAGTTGTCTGCGTTGCATTGAATGTTTTAAACTTGACCCATGTAAACCATAATCGGCATAGAAAGACTACACACCAAGCAGATTGTAGCCCTAAAATTACATATTACTGAATAAGAGCACTTCTCGAACACAGGTGTTTCTATTAGCTACTAATAAATATGATTAATGAGAGTACTTACATTGAGTAATTGTTGTTTTTTTTTGTTCAATATAAGCTATTATGATCATTTTTAACATTTGAAGATAGATCAAAGTTCCTCGAGTGTTTACATTCTCACTTTAATAGATGTCAATATTTTTCGATGCAGCTTGCGACAAAACTCTTACAATTGCAAAATTCTATCAACAGTGTGATAATGAAGGAAATTAGAGGGTTCTCGATCTATTGCAATTTCTCTTGTTCCACACCTTACGTGAATTGGTGTTTTCTGCATCTTTATTTTGAATAAAAATTAGCCAAAAGGAAAGAGATCGGCACGCTCTGTTTACAGTCAATATTGACTTTGTTTTTCGATTCCTTGGAAACACGGTTTTGTAGTGAGTTTTCTAATTTAGAAATCGTGGAGTCATTGGGTCTTATTTTCCTATTTTCAAAACTCATTAATTACAATGCCATCGGATTAGGTCTGTGACCGCATACAGTTCTAAGAGCTGGTTCTTTTTTGCAAGAACTGCGTCCTTTTCCCCTAAGATGAAGTTTTCTTTTGTATGATTCTAGCATGCTTATGTATTTTAGACGCATGACACAGAATCTATCAATAACACTTCGAATGACTTGCTCAAATGGGATGTTTAGGGATATCAGTTCTCGTTCTCAGTTTACGAACTATCATAGGCCTATATCGGATTCTTTTGGATTCAGAAAGCATACATTTTACTGGCACCACAAAGAACTCAATTAGTACTAGACAAAGTGTAGCTAGGCAGTAAGAGATAGTAAGTTGCAAAGAGACAGCAATTTCTTGTTCTTCAAGGATCTATGGTAGGCGGGGAGTGCTCTCGTCGGAAGCTAAAATGGTGAATGAATACCGTTTTTAATCTAAATGGTTAGGATGTCTGCTGAGCTACAGCCTGTATGGTTCGAATTCAGCGGAAAGCCTATCTTTTGTTGCGTTCTGTTGACACTCAATGGTTTTATGCTACTTAGTCGCCCTCGTGAGTCATAAGGCCGAGTTCTCAGAATGATGCACTAGCCGGGAACCAGTACAAAACCATTCTTCTATATTCATGCCTCTGTGTTTTGGTGTTCTGTGTTGGCAAGCTGTAGAACATCGTGCGCGATGCTCCAATATGAATTCGACGTATTGTACACGAAACGTTCCACCCGTAGATACAACGACGAATGCATGCATTTTCTAGATTAACTGGTAAGGGCGTTAACACGAATAGTCTGAAATACGTAGTTCCAGTTCCGTGCAGTAGATTTCATACCCTTCGTTATGCTGTTGGTACCATCACAATACTTGGCCCGTCGTGAGAGTCGCAAGTACTGATGCCATGATGGGGATCTATAGGAGATCGTGTGGTCCTCTGCTTTTTGAGAAAGGCTGATGCTAGTATGCACAAAGTGGCTATCTTTTGCTTTTGGTGCCGAACGCAAAAAGAAAAACCTAAGTCAGCTACTTGAACGCTGAGACTACTTTATATGTCTGGAAGTTTACTATCTCTACGATCCTTCGCTTGTTGATGTTTCAGGGCACTCCTCTCTATACCATCGAACTTTTACAAAATATTTTTATTAACTTTTAGCTCTCGTGTAGAAATCGAGGCATCAACTGTAATGAGGATGAAAAGTAATGAAACATCAGAAACAGGTTTCTCGGTTCTCCGGAAAGAATTCAACTGTAAACAGGCTCATTTTCTATCCTGCCGAATGTACAAAAGTAGTAATCCAATTTCTCTCACGACTCAGTGTTGATTCCAATCGGATCTAAAATGTTAAGATCATTGTCGGGCGAGAAAGCTCCTTTACGGCTTGCGATCGTTCGATTGGCCACGGTAAAACAATGAAACACACCTCATTGGTCAGTTAGATATCGTTCCAATGTATGATTTTGGTTGTTATGAAACAAGAAGTGATATAATTTTGCATAAGACAATCCGTAGTATAGAGAGCATGTCTATTGTGCTCGACACACTCATTCTTACGATCATGAGTCAGCTATTTCTTCTATTAATCCGAATGATCAGGAGTCTTTAGAACTTATCTGCTTTAATGATTCTATGAAGTTCGTATTGATATGATGGCATCATAGTCGAGAAAGATAATGATATGTATAATCGTTACAGAACCAGCGGAATCACACAGAATCAAGCAGAATCATTAGAATCGATGGAATCATGCAGAATCAGTGAAATCACACAGAATCATTGGAATCAATAGAATCGTATGGAATCAATGGAATTAGTGGAATTATGGAATCAGCCTTTCCCCTCTTGAATATATATTATTTTAAATTCTTTTTTCTTTTAAATTTATATAAATTCAATTTAAATTTAAAATAAACTCAAATATTTTACATTTTATTTCTAGATTTAACAAATTTTTGTCAATGTAAAGTGATCACCCCTAATCTCTGATGTAAATCAATTGATGATACGTCGTTACATAATCGCCCATAGCATCACAATTTCATAAAAAAAGACTCTAGCTCAGTTAGTCTTTTTTTTATCTTATGTGCTTTTTATATTCATTCGCTTTTCGAAAATTGGTGAAGTTCGATTCAGTTCGACTTCGTTTTTCAAGAAACGGCTCGAGTTTGATTAGGTTCGATTTTGCTCTCTGCTTCCTATATTTTTCTATTATACCAGAAATGATAAACAATCGGACATCGACTTACTGCTCATTCTCAGGAAAGAAAATGCTTTTTTTTTAAATTATATTACTAATTGTTTTTAATTATCGGGAAATTAAGGTGTAGTTAATTAATCTAGAAAATAATAATGATAAATACTTTTCTTTATATATTAGTAGAGATAGAAGATATAATGGACATTATAAGTGGCAGAAACAATGAATAAATAAATATGAGAGCAAAGTTTTAATGGAATAATTAGTGGATCAATACATTTCTATATGAAGTGGAGGCCAAAGAATAAGATATGCTACAAAGGTGGTACAGAAATATAACAATAAATGATGCTAAAGAAATTAAAAGTTGCAGTCAACAATTTATTTATGTAGTATGCGTAACAACAAGGCTAGCAAATATGCTGTTTTATGCTGTTGCTATGTATGTTAAATAGTAAAATAATAATGTAGCAGATAGAGAAATTGTTTTGTTCAAATTTATTTTTATTTTTAGTGTTTAATTTTAATTTTGAACGAATACTTATTGATTTATGGTTATGATGTTATATGGTTAGGTTTTAAATTCAATGTTATATGTTTTGGTTTAGGAATATGGTTTAATTCTACTGATGATGACCGCTTTTCACCAGCCTGTAAATATCTGTCAATGGTCGAAAATTTTAGTATTCGTTCAAAATTAAAATTAAAAACTAAAACTAAATTTGAACAAAACAATTTCTCTATCTGCTACATTATTATTTTACTATTTAACATATAGATATATAAAACGTTTAAATCGTTCTCAAGTTAGATTTTTAATATTATGTTGCTATGTAGTCTTTTGAACACATATTTAATTTAGTCTTTTAAAAAATACGAATGCTTTGTCCTTGCTGAAAGCTTTCCATTACTGTATTTTTAAAAACTAACTTTCTGTACTAAGATTTATCATAGGTAGGTTCACCTATGATATATATGAAGCAATATTTTCAAGAAAAATGTGGCCGTTGTTAATTCGCTTTTGATTTTGTTACTTATTGAAAGTAATTATTTTCTAAAGAAGCAAATGATCAATTTTAAAAAGTGAAGTTTAGGGCACAAATGTGGAAAAGTTCAATGAGTTCGCCAGAAGGCTCATTCTCTACAATATGTCATTAATTTCTTAAGTTTATTTTGATACTCGTTCACTCAGTCTATAAATTATATCGCATTTCATGCTCATTATGAACTGATCGCATATCAGATCGGTCTATCTCAAAATTTAGTGAATTGCATCGGAACGAGCTTAAAATTCAACGTCATCTTAAATTTAAGTTGCCTCTATCAGAACGTAGAAATAATTAAGATGCAACCGCTACAATCTGCAAGTATTATCCTGAATTTTTATTTTGTTAAATTAATACACTTCTATAGTTTTATCAATATTAATCTGCCGTTCATGCGCAAGTTCTGAAAATTAGGCACGATCTATTCAAAAAACATTGATGTAGTGAATCTGTGAAAAAATCGGACAAAGCCTTTCAGTGAGTTGCGAGCGGCCGCTCGGTGGCACGGATGGGCCACCTGCTCTGCTTACTGAGGCGCGGAGCGACCGCTCCACAGCAAAAAGCCATTCGGCACGGACACCGCTGCCGCTTTCTTCAGGTTTAGATCCCCTACCCCGCCGCGCGCGCAACATTTCTTGGGTGTGGTACACATCTCTGACTCACAGGACACTTCCTGCATTCTGCGACGTTCTCTGGTGAGAGCTTTTCTTGCTTGACATATGAAATTATACTGTTCCAGCATAGATTTCATATTTAATGAGTTTATTATTTGTCTTCGATTATGACGAAACGTTTTCCAAATAGAAATATTTTTATCTAGTAGTTTTTCTCACGGTCTACCTATCACAAAAACACTTGAACTAAAAAAAGAATCTTAGTGGAGCAGAAATAATATGGCAAACAAAGGGAGGTGAGTTCTATTTTTGGACCATCCTGCATCAGAAAAAGCTCATTTCATATTTCTGTTGTAGTGAGCATGCTGCATATAATATTAGTTCAAGTAGAGAATCAGTTTTATTAGCTTAGTAAAACAAGAGAGTATGCTTGTATAGAACTCATAAAACAATACTCAACTTTTTATTTATTAAACAAATTATACATGGTTTGCAGCGTCATTTAATTGTTTTTCAATTTTTGGTGATGCTGGACATCCAAATTTTCTTAGTACATTTCCTCTTTTTCCACGACCAGCAACAATTTCAGTTAATTCTTCGTTATCATCATCATCACCATCATCATCATCACCATCATCATCATCATCATCATCATCTGTATCTTCATTAGACGAGAAGGAAATACCAAATTTAACCGTATGTGGACTTGATTGTTGTTTTCCCTTAGATATACTACTTAATTCTATATTATTACCTGAAGATTGTTTTTGAGCAACAACAGAACTTATTGTTTTTAATAAATCGAGTGAATTTCTATGTTTCTCATTATCAGCATAACCAATAATAAAATCAACACCACTATTATGTTGATTCAATGGATTTTCATTGATAACTTCTATATCCGATCTTGATGAAATGTTGTTTCTGGATTTTGTATGCTTATCATTCTTCTCAAGTTCAGAATTAAATTTTGCTCTTGTATCAGGATTTGCAATTTCTTTCGCACTAGAACGTCGATGAAATAAAAATGAACCACCTCTAGAATCTGCATCATTATTTTCATCATCAGAAAAATCATGAAAATCTACTATATCTTCATTTATATATAGTTTTCGAGCAAAAACACGTTGATATCGATCAACAAGGACTGATACAAGCATACCAATTGTTGTAGCACCACATAATCCACATAAACATGCTATTGCTCGTCCAGCTGGTGTGATAGGTGCTATATCACCATATCTAAAACGAAGTTTTCTTGTTATTAGAAACAAAAACAAAAAATTTTTCTATTATTTTTACCCAACACTTGCAATTGTAATAATTCCCCAATAAGTTGCTTTAGGTATAGAATCGAATGCTTGACCATTTGCATCATTTTCAGCAAAATAAGCGGCAGCACCAAAGAGAAAACTCAATAATGTTAAAATATTAATCATAATAAAAAAATCTGGTAGCGATTCGCGAATTGTTGCTACAAGGGCACGTAAAGATTTCACATTTCGAAATACACGATAAAACTTAAGAACACGTGTAAAACGAAGAATACGTAAAAAACGAAGACCATCAGCTGTTGCCGTATTGATTTGATTATTTCGATCAGCTAAATAAATACCAAGTGTTATATAATATGGTACAATAACTGCGATATCAATCCAATTCATTATATTTTTGACAAAATCAACAAATGATGGTGCACTTATTATGCGAAGAATAAGTTCAACTGTAAAAAATACCACACATATAGTTTGAATAATAAAAAAGGGTGACGTAAGATAATTAGTGCAGATATTTTCGCTTTCGTTCGAAACTTGTACTGTTTCATTTGCATTACTTGAACCATTAACTGACGAATTGTAACAAACCAAATCATCAGAATTTATATATTGTGGTAATGATTCAACAGCAAGAGCAATAGTCGAAATAAGAATCATTAGTAATGATAAAATATTGACAATTTTAGCCGTAACTGAATAGTCAGGATATTCTATAGTTGCCCATAAATGTCTTCGAAAACGATTTTTTGGTAAACGTACTTTTTTCAACTCTGTAATATTTTCATCTTTTCGTATTTGATTAAGAGCTTCTTGGCCTAATTGAAAAAAATTTACTTCTTCGAGAAACATATCAATTGGAACAAAGTTTGGTCGTCTTAATCGACCATGTGATTGATAATAATAAAGTATGGCTTCAAAACATGATCGATTACGATCAAAA